GGAGGTAGGTGCAGCACCTCTGATGTTGCTGCCTGTTTCATGGTTATGTGTGGACGATGTTAACTAAATATTTGGTCCCATTTATGTTTTTAATTAAGTTTCATGCAAGATTTGTAGAGGGGTGCATGTTTGGTGGTTTGTCAGACAGACTGAGCTCTAGACTCAGGTTTTGATTCGTCTAGTTACGATCCTTGGAAAATAGTAAGCTTCTTGAAATTACAGTGCTCTATAAGTAGCCTTCTTGTATTTCCAGTGCAGAGAGCATATTGCTTTACTTGTGTGGGCTATATAAATATGCAGTTCTAAATAAATACTGGCAAGATGAAGAATATAAGGGATGAGCTGGATCCTTGTTTAAGGTGGATATTGACTGCTTATTAGAAAGCATGCTTCCTAAAACTTGTCAAGTTGCAGTCTCTAAGATGTTATGCTTTGTTTCTTTAACTTTTCAGATATTATGTATCTGGCCTAATGAAAGGTGGAGAAGATATGTTTGTTGAAAATATGCCTGGCTTTCCAGACAATATACGTTTAAGTAGCTCTGGAGGTTATTGGGTGGCTATGTCAGCTGTTCGGGCCAGTCCTGGGTTTTCTATGATGGATTTCTTATCTGAAAAACCATGGATTAAAAGAATAATATTTAAGGTAAAAAAGTATGCTCATAGTGTTCTGCATCTAGTCTTCTCCAGTTACAATGAGCTCATTGTAAACTCATTGTATTGGATAAACTCCTGTTCACTAGTAGTGCAGTTAATAATAATTGTATAAATTCAATCTCTATCCTAGGACCTCTTTGCACCATATATCTTGGGCATGGTGATCCCTTTTGTTATGACTAGTAACGTGTGAAACTTTCTGTCTAAAGATCATCCAACCCAGCCTGGGCTAAATGCCTTTCGCCAAAAGGGCAGCAGACACAAATTACAAACTATTGGGGTGCACCTGCACACACCTCAATCTGATTGGCTGCCACCAATCCTTTGTTCCATCTCACCAGCCAGAAGCCAAAGGATAAACTCCTGATTTTCCCCAGATTGATTCGGAAGTCCTCCCTGCAAGGTAGACTCACAGCAGGAATTCAACAAAAGTTAAATATTGTGGTAGGCGTTCTGCCAGGCTTTCTGCCAGTCTAGGCATTAGATTCAGATTGCAAGCTGTGGAGACAAATGACCAGAATTAATATTTAAAACACATTTTTATTAAGGTGCAAGTAATTCTTTAAACAGGAGCTGCGGTGGCTCTTTAAACAAGAACAGTTACTGTGAGGATAAAATAATGAAACTAGGAATTTAAAGGCTAACTAAACACTGTAAGACATTGGTTCACAAGTTACAAGATGTTACCCATTCGTAGTTGCGTGTTCCAAAGCAACTCCCTCCAGAGTCAGCAAAGCCCTGTTTGGCAAGCGTAAGTCCAAGATGGCCAAAAGTAAGCCAGAGCATGCCAACATGCCTTGGTGACAAGTAGGCACCCTTCAAGCTAAAAAATAGGGTTGAAGAGGATTCCTTTATTGCTAAGGGCGTCGAGTGTTGCTAGGCCTTTGCACCAATCAGGGTCGTCAGCAATTACCTATAGTCAAATGAATGAGCCAATCACTGACCAGATGACCTAATAGTTCCTCTGACCATGTGAGAATGGAAATGAGTCAATCTGCAGCCAGCCCAAACTGATTTCCACAGGTGCTTAATTGAATGGAACATTAATTGGGAGACAGTACCAGGAGATGACTTCTAACACAGCTGTCTCAGTCAGTGTGTTCTTTTCTCAGCAAGGCAGTGAGTTTCTGAGAAAACAACCCCCAAAGCAGGCCTCAAAAGCCTGAACCAGACTTTTGACTCAGAACTCTATTTTGAATTAACCAAAATCCGTGACATCTTCCCCTTTTATATTTATGAACTTACTTACTATACTATGTGCCATTTCAGTGGAAGAGACCCAAGCACATGCTTAACTCTGCCATTTAAAGTGCTTCCCTTTGCCTGAGTAGATTCAGAACATAAGAGACACCAATGTTGGATCAGGCCAAAGGCCCATCCAGTTCAACACTCTGTATCACACAGTGGCCAGAAACACCAGGTGCCATCAGGCGGTCTGCCAGTGGGGCCAAGACATTAGAAGCCCTCCCACTGTTGACCCCCCAAGCACCAAGAAGACAGAGCATCACTTGCCCCAGAGCCCCTATCTATACCTTGTGGCTAATAGCCACTGATGGACCTCTGCTCTGTCTTCTTGGTCCTTGGGGGGGGGGTCAACAGTGGGAGGGCTTCTAATGTCCTGGCCCCACTGGTGGACCTCCTGATGGCACTGGTATTTCTGGCTTATCTAATTCCCTTTTGAAGCCGTCCGTGCTTGTAGCCGCCACCACTTCCTGTGGCAGTGAATTCAGGTGAATGCTTTGTGAATCTCTTTTGGAATAATAAGTTACTACTTGACTGTTGGCTCAGTCTTGTGTATTTATGATTCTCATGGCTAAGACTGTTTCTCACAAAAGCAATGCTTCTATTTCAGCTGCTCAGCCAAGAAACTGTGATGAAATTTGTGCCCAAGTACAGCCTTGTTGTAGAGCTAAGTGAAACTGGATCTTACAGAAGAAGCTTACATGATCCCGATGGAATGGTGGCCCCCTACATAAGTGAAGCACATGAACACAATGGACATCTCTACTTGGGTTCCTTCCGCTCTCCCTTTATTTGCAGACTGAACCTTAAGGATGTCTAACTCTGAGCCAGAAGAAATACCACTGGTGCATCAAGTTGCCCTGGAAGGAGAAAATATTATTCACAAATTTGGCCATGGATGAAGAATGAAAGCACAGTACTATTTAACAGGGTACTAAGCGAGACCATGTCTTATTTTTAAGCATGCCATTTTAAAACCGATGGACACAATCCACCATGGTTTTATATATTTCCCATTCAAGTCAATGGGCCTAGTGTAGAAATTTGTGGTAGATTGTGCCCATTCTGTGGCATCTTTACTTAGATAAGGTAAAAACAAAATTACCTCATGAAATAAAATTCCTTTTATTCATCTAATAACCTTTAGAAGCTGCTTCCACTAAACTGCTGAGCATAAATATACCCGGTCAACTTCCATACTTCAAAATATACTGGAAAAAAGTCCTTGAATTCAAACTGCTAGTCTTAGATGGTCTTGCATGCAATTATTTCCGCTTTGAATCTATCTGAGCATGGATTTCCAAACATGCATGTTGTTATATCTTATAGTGCATTTATAGATATATTAATGAACTTGACCAGTGCATATCCATCTCTTTTTAGCACTGCTATTTGCACGATAAGTTTAAAGACATGAGGTCACTCCTTCATGAGACTTTTTAAGACCAGAAATGTCCTCTTACAATGAGAAATAGATGCAGATAACTTTGAGGAAAGTAGATATTGCCATTTGAAGAAATGGGAACATTCTTGGGCTTCCAGCAATTTTTGTCAGGGATTAAATAACTTGCTCAGACACAGTTAAGACTCTGAGACAATGCGGGAAACTGACCTTGAACTGGTAAGATTGATGGGCATACTGTATCATACTATTCTATAGTATCTGACCAGAAGCTGCATTCGTACAGCATTAAATATGATGTCTGTGTAAAATTACTTTTCCATGCATACAAGGAGCAAGTCTTCTCTACGAGTATATTTTCTCTTACAGCACTGACACACCATTAAGTGCTTCTGTTGTAATGTGGAGGGCTCAGGGTATTTCAAGAGGAAAAGACTTCAAAAGGATTTAAATATGAGATTTTCAGAAGTGAGTAACAATCTCAGCAGATTTATTGATTTACAGCTGGGTGGCATTTAAAGGATTGAAACAAACAGTGTAAAGCTTTGTTACAGTTTGCCAATCAAAACAAAATTAAATGACTACATCACCTTGTAGTGTTCTGTGTTTGTCTTGTTCAAAGGTATCAAGGATTCTGCTGCAAGCTAAATGCTATGGATTCTTGTGATATAAACAAAAAGCATAGGTGATCTTTTTAAAAAAATGAAAATGTATTGCTGACATGTGGGGGATAAGTGTGCCTAAAGCAGTCTGTGTTGCTTTGGGGACCTTTAAACCTGTGTGTACATGAGTCAAACTTGGCACCATATTCCTAGAAACGGAAGGAGGCAAAGAACATTTACAGTTTTATTTAGAATACGAGGGACATCATAATGTAAATTGGATAGAACCAATTCAGAACTAAGCAGTTGTTCTGGCAGAATGACATATACACCCAGAGGAAGCTAGTACACAATTTAGTTCTGTGTAAAGATACTCAGGGGAAGGGGTTGCTGTCTGAATGGGAATAAAAGGAGAAGAATGTAAATTATACTTTGCCTGTCCAACAAAAAGGATTCACAGAAGATACTGGGGGTCAGTTCCTTGGATGAGACAGTTCTTGCCTGTTTCCAAGTCGATCTGAGTCCTAAGGGTGGCTGAATCCAATTTCTTGGGCAAAAGAGCTGTTTAAATACTTTTTGTCTGGACTATTGGGGTTTGAATTTGGGAGGGGGAAAATCCAGTTTTTGGTAGCACTACAGGGGGCTTGTGAGAGGCTGGCAAGGTGTGTGGGCAACTTGACTGAACTAAAAAAAGATGGACTAGCTTGGGAAGTTGTAGAAATTGACCTAGTTCATGCCCTACCTCTCTGGGCAAGGCAGGATACCTGCTTTCAATTCTGGGTGTACGTAATGATTAGTTTACTACTCTGGGAGGGAACTGCACCACTCACAGGTATTGGTTGGGTGGAGTTAGGCATTGCCAGGCATCCAAGGCAGGCCCTTGAAGATAGGTGTCTTGGGGCTCTCCTGGGCTTGGTTGGTATTTCTAAAATAAGGGAGGGACCCTCATAGCCATTTTCCCTTGTCTGATCCATCTGAGATACAAGATTTTGAGGGTAGGGGCCTCCTGGGTGGCTTCTTCCCTGTGTGGTGGTTGCCTTCTGGGCAGCAGGAACCCACAAACTTGAAATGGGTTTTTCTGGTTTGCTAAACTTTGAAAACAAGTGTTATACAATAAAATCTGCAGAGCATTTGACTTAGTATTTTAGCTTTTTGCTGAAGATTGTGAACAGGGAGTGGATAAAGAAAGCTATGTAAAAGCCCAAGGCTTTTCCAGATGTGCTTTATGAAGTGAATGTTCCCTACTCTTCTGTTCTTTTCAGTGGAGCTTCCTCATGCAGAAGTGGTAGACGAATCTAATACTTTGAACACATGTGATTGAAAAGAAAAGATAGCCACTTCGAACAAGTGCACCTGACCAGCTTACCAATGGATGCAGTGATACAAGGTGGCTGTGGGACCTCTAAGGACTAATAGCCATGCAAGTCAGGAGGCTGTTATGTGGATGAGCAAAACTACCTTCTCCTTTTTCTTCTGTCAACAGAAACAGCAGACATGGTGATATCTTCGACGTGGTCTCTGTGCTTCACACCCATGGTATCTAGTGCGCACGCGCTGCATCAATCGGCATTGTAGCAAGCTCTTTAACGGATTTTCATGCCCAGTTCCTCAGGCATACACAGGAACTCCACCACGCATGCCCAGAGGAGTGGGCTCGGACATCCCACCAATTCCTTTCTTACCGCCATGTTGGAAAGACCTCTTTCTTCGTCGGTCTGATCAGTTCGCGTGTTTTGGCTTTTTGTCTCACGGCTCTTTGAATTTTTTCCTCAGTTCATTCCTTTTCTTCGTTTGTTCTTTTAAAAACTTTTTAAAAACCAACTATTTTCTACTGAGGGGGAAGTTGCCGCTTTACCTCAGTTGGGCCTTCGGTCTACCCCGCCCCTCACCCCTTCTTTCTTCTTCACTTTTATAATTATGGAGAAGAAGTGGGGCTTTTTTAATAGGTGCAAGGGTTGTGGTAGTAAACACAGAGGTCATTTCGGGGGGGATCGTGGGGGATCGCAGTTCCCCCGGGTGAGGTGTGAGGGGGTGTGGGGCACACGACGAAGCCCCGCCCCTTGCTTCCGGCTGCCCTGCTTCCGGCCCTCATTCAGCCAGGAGGAGGCAGGAGAAGAGGGAGGGTAAGTTGCTCCCCCCCCGCCTCTCCCCACCCCTGCCTGCCTGGGGCCAGGGAGGGCCTTGGCGGGGCTTCCTCGCACTCCCGCCAGCCCTGCAGGTCCACCACCGGGCCCCTGATGTCAGGGGGTGTGGCATATGCTAATGAGTTATGCTAATGAGTTCCCCTAGCTCTTTTTCTACGAAACTTCCCCTGAGTAAACGTGCTCTTCCTGACCGTCATACCCTCTGCATTTTTTGTCTCGGAGAGTCTCATCGACCCGAATTCTGTTGCCACTGTACTCGGTTTTCGAACCAGACCCGAAAAAACTGAGCTGCGCACCTTAAAGTGGCACTGCTTGAATCAGCCCTACAGCCTTCCTCAGCAAT